TAGAGCCATTTCTACCAAGTCCTAGGTTCCTATTATTTTTTGAGTCACTTTAATGCGCCACCTGACCTGGCATCATGGGAACCTTTAATTAAAGGCAGGTGTGCTGAAGCAAGTGGAGCGTGGAAGACGCCACAGGGTTACAGTCTTTAACTGCTGCCTATTTGGTAAATCTTAGTTTTTATTGTTTGATGAAGTCATCTACTGCCCCATTGATTTGAACTTTGTTTTTGTAAAGGCCTGTTTATTTAGGGGACGTTTGTTAGGGGATTTTTGTTCCAATTTTCTTTAAATGTGACCGTCAAGATAGGCAGTTCATGGTGTCATAGCTAAACTAAAGACAGTGAGTTCATCATATTACCTGTTATGGCATCTGTGGGCAGCTATTTTTTTTAACTTATTCGGAAGCCACAAAAATACTAATATTTTCCAATATCATATATCTTTATCTGCATATGTTGATTTAGATTTCAAATGTCAATGTTCTGAACAAAGCTTTGAAGCTTTAAACTATTCAGTACATTCTATATTCTATTTTAAAACAATAAGCAACTACTTTTCTTGTCTTTGTATGTGAGCACACAGGAAAGACAAATTAAGATCCGACACTGATAATCTGAAAGATCCTTTTTAACAATTCACTGTTAAACTCTGACAACAGTTTGAGGCATAACAATGATCATTCTTCCTGGCCAGAGATTATAATTACCATACCACTTGGTGACTTATCCATTCCATTTAATGACTTTACCACTGAAACATTGTTAGTCATCTCTTTCATATAGCTAGATCACACCTCTCCCGGCCTTTGTCTCTCCTCTACAGACTTATTGTTCAGTGACTCCAGCATGTCGTGTTGACAGTGTTTTCATAATGTGAGGGAGATCAGAGTGTACACAAAGGTGCTGCTGCTCAGCCAAGCTCATCACAACAACATGTACCTACAGCAAAGGAAATGACCAAGAGTAATGTGGCAGTGACATTCTGGCTCCCAACAATGTGCAGTGGAGTTTATAGTCAAGTTTTCATCTGAATGCAGCGTAAATATTAACTGAATTTCCAGAAAATCAGCAAAAGGAAATGTGAATAATGTATGTGTCCATTCATAACTGTTATGCAACTATAAGGACTTGAGTGCATCAAGATTAACAGATGGTGGCGCTAAATCTCTGTTAGGGTGCCATTAAACCATTGCAGAAGAAGAGGATGCAACAACATGACAGTCCACGTATATCTGATATTTTCATTTTCAGCCATTTTTTGTCTCTTCAGTGAAGGGGAGGGCTGAGTGAGGTTAAACTCTCATGCACATCACCAGTTATACTATAAACCTGTTTACACTGCAGTTTATCGCAATTTGTTCAATTGATACATCTGCTTTTATACCTCAGTCAAGTGTAAAAACAGTTTCTGCAAAAAATTTACTTTTTTACCCCCAACATTTTTATGAGCAAATTTAAAACATGCATTTAACATGTAATAAAAAAAACATCTTATGACAATGCTTTATTTGCAAACCTTTGTCACTGATCAGTTCAATCACAGAGTGACTGAACTCAGTTCACTCTTACATATTAATTGTATAATACTTCTGTTAACACAGCGACATGCAGCCAAGAGCAACAGGCTGGAATCAATCCTGCGGCTGCTGGGGCAGCACAATGACTTCATGTATGGTATGCCTCCTCCATCCACTAAGCCACTAGGTACCCTGAGATGGTTCACTCTTTAGCTACTTCCATTATCTGCTCCGGAGAAAACAATGTGTTAAATTCTTTCTTTAACCACTTGTCTGATCTGGCAATTGAGTTGTTAGATTTACTAGCCTGATGTGGCATGTTGCTTGCCCCGGGCGATATCACAATCCTTTTTTTTTAAGCCCTGAGTCTGTGTTAGAGCTGCAAAGATTCATCAGTTATCTAATTGTAAAACAGAAATAATTAATTGGGACCTATTTAGTTGAGTTTGGAAATATTGGTTGGACAAAATGAGACATTTGATTAAGTCGCTTAAAGTCCCATTTCCACCAAACACTTTCGGTATGGTACCTTTGGAAACAAGAGTAACCCTTCAGACATGGTACCTAGACCCTCGGTCCATTTAGTGTTTCCACTGCAAACAGTACTCTTAAATGGGCGGAATATCCAAGGGATATTTAAAAATAGCAGGTTTGTGCATTTAGTCCTTCTCAGGCAAGCTCGAGGGTTTAGTGTTACCGGAGCCCACAGGAACGACATTCTGCGATGCTTTTTCTTTTGTGTGGATTGAGGATCAGAATATATGCAGCTCATATAACCCGGTCGAAATTAATATATAGACTAGAAAAGCACTCAGAGAGTGCAGACCTCCGCCAAGTAGGTGATATTCCCTCCCCCTCTGCATCAGATTTTGCAGCCTGCATCACAATTAGGTTATTTACATCACTATCATTATTAGGTTATATATGCCTTCACCATGGAGACACTGTGGTGTATTTATTTCGTTTTTATTTTGTACCAACACAGAATATCATGTTTTTTTTTGTATTTTTGACTTACTTTTTTTCGAACACAGAACGTTAATTTCAACTTTAGAATTACAACAATATTTAGCAAGTAGAACAAGACGTGCTTTCCAGCCACCAGATGGCGCTATTTTCACCGTCTTTAGAAATTGGAATTGCTGCTGAGGCTGTCAGACGATAGACTTTATTTATTCATTATTTTATCCACTTTGCTTCAACCGATTACCACCAAAATTATCATCTGTTCCTTGTCCCATTATCCACCTTTCCTGAAAATTTTATCAAAATCTGTTCATAACTTTTTGAGTTATTTTGCAGACAAACAAACCAACACCAGCGAAAACATAACCTCCCTGGCGGAGGTAATAAACGCTTGAGTGTATGTCATATAAAAAGTAAAGTCACGGTCAAAGTTGTCACAGTGAAATTTAAGGTGTGTTGTTGGATTCATGTTGTCAACTCAACATGCATTGAGTAACATTACAAGTAAACGTTCCACCCTAAAAATCAAATTTTTTTTTTCTTAGTCTACAGCTGCTGGTGGAGGCAGCGAAACATCCTTTCATTTTATAGTTACAGTTTATTAATAAAACTCTCCACGGTATGAACAGTGGTTACATGAGCCTCAAAACCAGCCACAACTCAGCCCTGAGCAGAGTGACCGTGCTCTATTGACCAATCAACAGACTGCAGTGTTCACAGCTCCACCTTTTAGTACCAGATCTGTGTGCTAGGTACCCCAACAGAGGGGGGACCAAAAATGGGGACAGTACGGAATGGTTCCATTTGTACCATCCACAACTTTTCACAGAGGGAACGGGGAAAAAAGCGTACTGAACTGAACTGTACCATACCGTACTGCTCGGTGGAAACAGTGCTTTAGGCTCTAGTTGAGGATTTTATAAGTTCTCTCACTGTTTTCTAATGTTTTGAAATGTTTTGAATGTAATCAGTAGTTGCAGCCCTGTCAGTATACATACCAAAAAAAAAAATCTCTGTACTAGTAATATTCTCCCACAATGCAAAGCACAAGGGAAACGGCGGAGCTTCTCACAGCTGCAAAAGTCCAGGAGCACCTCAGAAACCGAAAAAATAAGTAGTGGGGTTTTGTTTTTGTTAAGTTTAACTGGCAGTGACACTGTATAGCCGCAATTTGAATTCCACTGTATAGTGCACGCATTGCATCATTTCCTGTTCGTATACACCGATAAAGTATGTTGGTTTCTTGTGTACTAACTGCAAAAACTGTACACTATAAAGAGAAGTATACAGTCCTCAGAGATGCTTGGCCTAAACTGCACAGCTGCAAATGTGACCTTGTTTTTCACATTGAAATAAAAATAAGTAAACAAAAAAGAAGCTGTACACGTAGCAAAAAGCACAGTTTCAAATGTGGATATTTATTTTAGATCAGCGAGAGCTCTCCTTCTGAACTCACACTTTGACTTTTCAGATGACTCTTGCTACTTAGCTTTAAGCTCTCAGCTTCCTGTTGAGCAAATGAACAGGAGGGAAGTTAGCGGGCTGTCTGCGGGTAAACCAATTTCACACATGAGACGCAACGCACAGCGACAGCCACACCGAATCTATTTGCTCTCCACTTGCAGGTGCATCTTCCTCTCTCCCTCTCTCTCTGCCTAAGAAGCAGCCAAATGTGAGATGAAAATCTTTTCTCCCTCCTGCATCTAGAATACAAAGAAGCTCTGTAGCCGTGAGCTATAGAGAATCTAGGGGACATACTTGAGTCAAATGGTGTTTGAAATCATTTGAAAAACTATAGTTGTTTAACACCGTTTAAATAAAGACGTCGCCGCGAGGCCTCAGACTTAATCAGTCTCGGAGAAGAAGGGAACAATATTACTTTTATTTCCAAGAGTTGTCTGTTGCAGACCTACTTCACCCATTGACGCACCTTGCCTCGTGTTTTCTTCTCCGAGAGAGCTATTAGGAGATTTCATCCGAGGCCAGAGGAAAATGTGACAATCAGACATTTATGAAAACTTAAGTCAGAGCCCATCTATCTCCTCCAACGGGAGCCATTAGCCGGGTATATTCAGATGAATCTCCTGCAGCAGGTCTCTCTCCAGCTTACCTCTCTCCTTTCTGTCTTTTTTTTTCTGACACTCTCCGTCTCAGTGGGACTCTTAGAAAGATTGGTTACCTCTATCTCTGTCTGGCCTTCTCTCAGACACAATCTCCCTCTCCTCCTCCTCCTTCTCCTCTTCTCTCTATCTCTCTCTCTCTTTGCCCCTGTCTTCCTCAGTGGGACTCTTAGAGAGATCTGCCCTGAATCCTGAATGACTCCTCTGCAGTATTAATGAGGGGAAAGCTGAAAATCTGAAGCTGACTCTGACAAGAGGGGGAGAGCAGGAGTAGAGACGTTAAAGACAGAGACAGAAAGATGGATTGGAGGCATGGAGGGGAGAGAGGGAGGAAGAGCTGTCTGCTGGAAAACCAAATTTCTGTCCATGTTAACTTTCTCTTTCTTTTGTTTCCACAGACACGCCCATATTTAACCACCTCTCTGCAAAACTAAACTGAAAGCCAAAGGGCAGGAGGACAGGAGAAGACTCAGGAAGACAAAGGGAAAGAAAACAGTCCGTGGGATGCCAAGCAGCGTAAACAAACTTGGCTGAAACACAGATTTTCATCAAGATCATCACAACGGGACTATTTCAAAGAAAACCTTGTTATACACAAATCAGCTCTTGGTCTTTTTGATTTGTTTAAAGAACGCGTTGGCTTTGTAACCACCTCACAGGACACTTCAAGGAAGAGGCCATACATGAAGTCAACCTCCATGCTTCCAGCGTTTCCATTTAACATAAACAACCCAAGCTTGAGCGCATATACAACAGGCCTCATCAGATAGAGCTGTAAACTCTGATCTTTAGAAGCAGAAAACAGGAGCACATGAAAGTTTAATGTATCTGACCTGACAGCTGCTGGGTCGGTGGGCATTTGATGTTTTGTTGAGCAAAGAATAAAACTTCATATCGTACAACATTAAAGCTGGAACCACATTACGATAAAGGAGGTAAATTAACTCCATATCTTGATAATCCGTGTGACTCCAGCTGCCTAATATGCACATTTACTGACTCGCAAACTTCACAACCCTCTAAAGGATTTATTAAAACTTTACAACTGCCAGAGAACGTCAATTAACAGGAGTCACAGCTCCGTATCCAAAAGCCATGGATGGAAGAACAGACAGCATCCAAGATTTTTTCAACCAACTTTGGAGCTTCACTACAGACAAGCACGACCAGGGGGTCTTCAACACTGTCTGCCTGGTGGTCCTCCTAACTCTTCCCCTGCTGGTGCTCCTCACCGCTTTTGTTGTGTGCTGCCACTGCTGCTGCTGTCGCCATGCCAACAGCTGCTGTTGCTGCTGCTGCAAAGACGCCATGGCAACCGCAAGGTCAGAAACGAAGAAGAAAAAGAATTCAGCCAACACTGAAGACTTGTGGATCTCTGTCAAGACGGGGCCGATGACACCTGACAGGGTCGCCCTGGCCATGGTGTAGGAATCCATTTTATATTTTGAAATTTCTGATCCTGGGTCAGTTGGTGCAGTCGAGCTGACCAAGCTTCTCAAAAGAGTGAAACTCGAACCAGCTCGAACTCAAAGGACACTTTAGACAAATGGGAGAGACCTCACATTGTCATGGGCACAGATTTGGTTGTAAACAGTGTACAGATTCTTGTTATTTTGTAATCATGTGATGTCATGTGTGGAAAATGTTTACAACATTTTGTATGATCTTTTTAGTGTGTGGTACATAAAGGAAGAAATACGCAGAACCATATATACCTGCAAATATGTGTGCGTGTGCTTGTGTGAGTGGATTAGATAGAGAGAAAGTGTGTGAGAGAAGTAGTGTTATTGAGAGCACTTTGTTCTTAGAGCTCCCATGTGAAATTCATTGCATCTGTATTTGGGAGAGAGAGCCAATTTAAGGAGTGCACAGTGTTCAGATGGCCAAAACACTGCCTACTTTTCACACTCAGGCTGAAATCTAGATTCGTGTTTGACTCACTTCCTTAAAAAACAACAAAAAAAGCCACTGATGTCCAAAAAGTTTCTCTCACAAGATGCAGAAAGAGAAGCAGAACTTATCTCATTTTTACTTCTTTCCTGCTTTCTTACTTTACTTGCTACAGTGTGGGACGCAGGAGAGACACTCCTCCTAGGTTTGGTTTTTGAGTGGTGTTGTATTCAGGTCAAGTGAGCCTTAAAGGCACGATTCATAACCTGAATGTAAGGAAAAGGACCAAGAAGTAGAAAATAAAATTGGAATCTGTTATTCTTCCCTAAGATATTTGAATGCACTGATTAACACAACCAGTCAGTAAAATTTTCTGGGCTTGTACTTACTGAAGTTTTAGATTTAAGTAAGTTCAACCTGGACCCCATTTTCCCATGTTTTGTGTCTAAGTGACAAATGGGCACGACAATTTTTGAAATTATATTATTATTGAGCGAGAGTGCTGCAGCTGGCAGCCATGAAACAGGCTGCAAGGTAACCACTTGGTGTATGTGTACAGTGTAAATTCACGTCCACTAAAAGTGCTTGTTTTTGCCACTGACAGGCTCAAATTATTATTCTAAGTCTGACAAAATTATAGAAAAGATCCCTATAGAAGTCAACCCTTTTGTTGGAGTAAGATCCTCTTTGTTTAACTAAAAACAGCCCCAAAATTGCCACAGGCAAACCCGCCAGATTCCATTTAAATAAACATTAATTTTAACATATGTAGAGTTGGGGATTGTTAGAACAGTGGAAACACGAACCAAGAAGGTTTTGGAGAGTTTTATTTTGTTTTTGTTGACTGTGTTGTTTGGAACAAGGTTGATTTTTCTGAGCTATTGCACCATGAATAAAGTCATCAACTAGATTATGTTGTGTGAAATGGACATCACATCACAGCGTCATGACTATGGCGGACCTGTTGCAACTGTCACAAATTCACATTACTGCTGGTATGAACAGTTGATAATAGTTTTACCACCAGAGGCTCAATGATACAATATTTTCCTGATACTTAAGTCACGATACAATATTACTGCGATTTTAAAGTTTTTGCGATATGCTGAGAATTGCCGTAACATACACAGACCAGCTAAAAATCAAAACCACTGACAGGTGGAGTAAATATCATTGATCACCTCGTTACAGTGCAATGTTATGCTGGGAAACCTTTGGTTCTGGCATTCATGTGGATACCACCCGACATGTTCCACCCACTCAAACACCATTGCAAACCAAGTACCCCGTCTCATGGCAACAGTACTCCCTGATGACAATAGCTCCCCCAGCAGGACAATGCACCATGCCACACCACAAAAAATGCTCTGGATTGGCCCAAGGAACGTGACAAAAAGCTCAAGGTGTCAACCTGGCCTCAAAATTCCCCAGATCCCAATCTTATCAAGCATTCATGGGACGTGCAGGTATGCCAGAGGTACCCCTGAGCCTCAGTGGTGCCTCCTCAAATCGGACTTGGCTCTGACCTGTCAAGGCACAGACACAGTATCTCTGTGACACACAAACATCTGTGTTTGTGTCGGCTCCTTTAAGTCCTGTGGGTTGTGAGGTGGCTAAGCGGCATGACCAACAGATGCTCAATCAGATTGGGATGTGGCTAACTTGGAGGCCAGGTTGATGCCTTGAGGTCTTGTCATATTCCTAAGGCCATTCCTGAACAGTTGTTCCAGTGTGGCATGGCAACTGTCCTGCTGAAGGGCCACTGACATCAGAGAGTGCCATTGCCATAAAAGGGGGTACTTGGTGTGCAGCAGAGATTGGGCAGTTGGACATGTCAAATGGCATCCACATGAATGCCAGAGCCCAAGGTTTCCCAGCAGAACACTGTACTGTAACAAGATGATCAATATTATTCCCTTCACCTGTCAGTGGCTTTAATTTTTTGGCTGATCGGTGTATATTGCTTTATCTTGAGATTTATTTATAATGAGATTACGTTGTCACTCAGTTCATCTCACATAAATAATTTTCATCGCAGAAAATATATCTAATCAAGCAAATTATTTTATTACTCTAGTAGGCTACCAAAAGTTTTATTTGTATTTTCATATCACTAATTTATATGATAAAAAAAACAATACTTGGCATCTGGCGATACAATATTGTGACACTATGTTGTATTGATTTTTCCCCACTGCGACTGTACATAAAGCTGCATTTTATTGAATTCATTTGAGAAACAAACACAATAATAATTTAATCTCTAAGTCAAACTATTGAACTATGCATGTGAATATACCCTAAAGCAAAAACTTACCCAACTTAACATATTTTCAAAATATTCAGAGCAGAGAAACCCTGAAATAATCAAATGATTTGGGCTTCAAGTGGATTGTGCCTGAAGGCTCATATTTTTTTTAAGTGTATGACATCTCAAAGCCCAATTAAGCAGAAGTGTCTCAGCAGTATCATCATGTTCAGGCATTAGTTTACACTGCCACTAAGTTGATCTTCTTGCTCAAGTGCTGCTGGGAAAAACAGGCTCCAACTCATTTCATTTCTGCTCAGACACATACATTCCCATGTGGAAATTGGGGTTTGTCTTTTCTGCTTCATGTTCACAGAGAGAAACTGTGCTTGTTGGGCTTAATTTGAAAGCTTGCCCCACAAAATAAACTCCTCCGTAGCTATGCATGATCTCTAATAAGCACTATCGCCCACACTAAGAGTTTGCCAAGAAATTACATCATCGACATTTTCAGGGGTTGGCTGAACATGTCACTGTGGTTTGTATGCGTCAGACCGATACTTAAAGTCAGTTTACAGAGTTCCTATTTATTACACTGACTATACAAGGCTTTCTCAACAGCTTATAGATTATGATAAGAATGGGAAGTAGAAATAGAAAGGTAAGATTTAAAGGACTTGCTCAACATTTTGGGAAATATTCATCTTTGCTTTCTTGCAGAGAGTCAGATGAGAATATTTACCACTCTTGTGTCTGTATGGTAAATATGTAACTGGTTAGCTTAGCTTAGCACAAAGACTGGTAACAGAGGGAAACTGCTAGCCTCGCTTTGTCTAAAGTAAAGTAATAATTAAAGGTTTTACTGATCATCTTTCCTCTGTAGATTAAAACACATCCACAGAGCTTTTACAAATTTGCAGAATGAAAGTATATTTTTTCCTAAAATAATGTTATGACTGTGAATTAATCATTTTCAAACTTCTGTTGGGTCTAAAATTAATGTTTAGTTTGCCTTTGTGTAAGATGTCTGATGTTTGGTTGCCAATACTGGTGGAACCTTTGCTATGGCACAGTGTTACCTACAGCTAGCTAGCAGGGCCAAAAGGCTCAGGGGGCCCCTAAGCCAGAGCTTCTGCATTAAGTCACTTTTATGACGTTCTCATTTCTTGTCAAAGGGCTTAGTCATGTTTGTCAATAACAGAGCCCCAAAAGTCCTACAAAAGAAAATAAAAACTGAAGGAATAGAGCGCCCCAGGAATGAGTCACAAAACCCAGAAATGAGTCAGCATTTTACCGCGCCCAGTTCCTTCATCTCAAAGTCAATGTTGGTTTTTTTATGGATTTTTGGCTGGATGCCTGAAATAAGGTCTGTCACATTTTGCTCTACAAAATGAAATACGTCAGTAAATACTCCACTTGTTTCTTTAAAAGAGGCAGTTGCTAACAAGTGGCTATATGAGACTCCACAACATCATCACACCGAGCTGCGTCGAACATGGCTTTACAGTGTTGTTATGGTGGTGACGTTAATGTCATGCGACCGCAGTGTAGTTTGCTTTTAGCCTAACATTAAGCTTTTTACTTCTGGCGATTGCTTTTAGATTTAAAAAAAATCATAAAAGTGATGTTCATTCACGAAGATTATCTTGCAGAACAAAATGTTTATGTATCATAAACGTGTTTGCCACAGAGCTAATTTTTGGCAATAATCTGAAGTCCACTGGAAAAATCAAAGAAGCTTTTTGACAAGGGAACCAGTGTGAGGCTAATTTCCGTGTCGGCCTATAATAAAATGTCATTCCTGGGGCACTTTGTAGCCTCAACAGTCACTTTGAAGATGTCACAAGGAAGAAACCATCATGATAGATTTTCAAGACAGTGTTTTTAACCCTCTCAGTTTATCTACAGGACTCTATGCAATCGATCTTTCACTAAGCCCCATCCCTTTGTGATGGTCCGACAAGCTGAGGAGTAAGCATGGAGCCCACACTGTAACTAACTGCACTCCCTGAAGAAATAATCATATTTTTGGAAAAATGAAACAGTGATTCCAGAGAGAAGCAGACAGAGGGGTCTACAGTCTGTGTTTGAAGGATATATCCAGGATGTCAAACTGACTCAGCAGCAACAACAGGTTAAAAAGACAAAGATAGTTAGAAGCTAAAGCCGAACTATAGGCTACAGATCACAGTGTAAAAGTGAACCACCACATCACTGCTGATCGCCACAGAAGACAATGAATATAAAGGGAGACTTTGCTGATATTGAACCAGCTGTGTGGCATCACAGTGTGTGCAGATGAACGATGTTTGGCTTCACCCCCGTGCCGCTGCCAGCACCCGGACCTTAGCCGCCGGATGGGCAGGGATCTCCAGGGTAAGTCATCTGCGCACAATGCAATGCCACAGAGCTGGTTGAATATCTGCAAAGTTTCCCTGCTTCCCTTCACTGGTTCCTGTACAGCAGGGTCGGTCTTTGTTTCACTGTTATAATCATTAAAAAGCAAAAGCAGCATGTGTATACATTCAGTAGGCTATATCTTCAGTAGCTAGCTAGCTAACCCTACACTTTTCAGGGTTTGATTTTGTTTTTGAAACAGGGAAGAAACGTATATCTTTTTCCAACCTCTCCAGGTAACGAGTATCATTAATACACGACATGCCCCAGGCACAACATTTAGCTCCAAATCCACAAAACCAGCCTGAAAATGAAGGAAATCTGAAACGACTGCATTAGAGTCAATGGAGCACAGCTGTGTTGTTGTCAAACCCTGGTCTGAACCAGCCCGATGCTACGTTATGATTGTCTAATCTGCGTCTGGGGACTGGATTTAGCAAAGGGGCAATTTGGGTCATTCCAGTCTGTGGGGAAAAACAACAGCATGTTGTACCTGCCGTAGAGGGGCTAGGGAGCCTTTTATACATTATCCCCAGGGGCCCACTGTGTCATAATCTGCCTGTGCTAGCTAGCCACATCCTAAGATTAGGCCTATCATAACGTTAGATTACATAAATCTTGAAACATTGCTCCACAAACTAACCACAACCTATCACTAATGTATAGTTACATATTGCAAAATGAATTCATTACTCTACAAGGAAAGATTCAGCACTTCACAAGACAGATTCTGCCTGTCAACTCGAACATAAAATATGCAGATTGTGCAACAAACCAGCAACCACTTCTGTTTCTAGCAACTGCGGTATTGTGACGTGAATGCATGGAAGGGGGAGTGCGACATCTAGTGGCCAATTTTATCAATAGCATCTTTAATATCTTACATCTTGTTCAATTAATTCGTAAACGTGTAAAAATTTAAATTTTCTGTTTTACAGGGACTATGTGTAAGTAAATATGTTTCCTGTTTCTGCTAAACAAGTTCAATAATTCAAGACATGACTGCTAATATATTTTTTAATTCATTACATCACAGTTGCCTCCCCGCTGCAATCAATCACCAGCTGACCATGAGTTACTGATATTCATCATCAGTTGCCCAATCCATCATACAGCATTGTGGGTGTTTTTACAGCCCTGTTCTATAAATGAATGCTGAAGTGTTGGTTGCATTAACGAGATTGCTTTGTTTTTCTGTTAACATGTTCACACCATCTACGCTTTTCTCTTGACACCTGTTAGGCAGTCTTCGTGATGTTGAGCCTCACTGTGTTTAAACTTCTTTCACTTTGAACAGATCTTATTATATTTTCTAGAGGAACTTTATAAATCAGCTGCCGGAGTCAAAAGGTAGGGAACATTAAGTATATATGGGTTTTTTATTCCCTTTGTCAGGTCGCTGTGATCAGAGGGAAAAGAGGTGGGAGGATTTGTCATCTGTTTGAACAGTGAATCCAGCGTCCTCGATGGTTTTCTATACAACAGTGCCACTTTTTTTTGATCCTATCCAATTATGCATGACATTGTATATTTAGAACATGTTTTTTTGTTGTTCTACAGTTGGAAAAATGCTGAGGGGAATCTTTTTTTTTTTAATTATGTGCCTGGCTGGGCTTTGTTGGTAGCTCTGCATGCATAATTTATCCTGACATATAGAGATGCAATGATAAAGGACAGCACAATGTGGAAGATGACAGGGAAAGAAATAAAGTATATTTTTTAGCAATGTGGAATCTCATATTTCTGTTTCTGATGTAAACCGAAGTTAACTGAGCCATTGAGTTTTGACATACAGTCATAACTTTGTGTGTGAACATGTCATATATTGAGCAGGCTGTGAAGACTCAGACAATATGCTCACAAAATCTCAACATGTATTTATTTTGAGCATACGGGAACAAAGCTCCTGGTTATTTGTGCAGACCGTTAACACGCTGCACTTATTGAGACAAGAACTGTGACTGAATATGAAATGTGAGAAAAAAAACACAAACAACAAAGAAATGCATTTGTTTGTGGTGCATTCACATGCAGCGCGACACCTGCCTAAAAACGTTCCTTCCTATTACACCATCAACTTTCACTGCAGTGGATGGTGGAAAATAAGTAGATAGAAGTGGTGGAGGAAGGATTCCTATGGTATGAGCTGTGTAAACAAAACTGAAAGCTGCAGAGGCAATGCAATTAATAAGCACTTCTGCCTCTAGTGATCTTCATGAACATGTAATTTTCATCATCACTTTGATGGCCGTAGCGGAGTAATCTTTGATGAAAGTAATCAGTTTGGCTGGAGGAGCAATTCATCTTTGACAATATTAAGGCTCAGACATACACTTTGGGAAATTTGTTCCGTCTCGCAGATCCTGATTCTTAACCTGCGTGAGATATTTGGTGTTTGTCAAAGTATTAGCATAACTTAAGTCTCAGCATGTAAACAACATGTTTGTTTATTTCACTCTTTAAGGCCTGCGGTGTGAAAACGATCCTTCACAACTTGTCATCTTTTCACTGTGACGTGAGAAAAAAAAAAGGGGGAGTCTCACATTCGATCAGGAGGTGTATCCAGCTCCCTGACAAATCGGTTTTTATCACTGAGGCGCGTGGCCAAGGTGTGGTGAATTGTAAACAACAATCAATGTGTTGACAGCATTTTTAACACTTGAGTGGTTGAGTGGTTCTCAGCCATTGTTGAGTACTCAACCCGTCATGGTTCAGCTGACATCGAGTAGTATCCCCATCAGCACATTTGTGACTGAACATGAGAGGTACATGTAAATAGCCTCATTCGAGCCGCCCAGCCTGTTGAATGGAATATAAACTAAGCAGGCGAGCCAGCTGTGGCTCTTGACATTTGCTGTAAGAGCACGATTTAGTAAGAAGTGCATCTGATGCCTTTACAGAAATGAACAAAACACTCAAAATCTGGCTGCTAAGGCTGCTGGAAGTACTACGAGCAGGGATGGAGAAAGTACTATAATATTATAGTGGTGGAAGAAGTAGTCAAGTCCTTTACATAATACCACACTGTAAAAATACTCTGCATTGAAACGCCCTGCATTGAAAATGTTACTTAAGTAAAAAGTATTCAAGTACAATCAGGAAAATGTATACAATGTCAATTAAATAAATCAAAATAATTAAAAGGAAAAGCAGCAAGTCCTCATATTTTAGAAGCTGAAAAATGACTTAAATTGTCAAAATAGTTGTCAAGTAATTTTCTAATCATTCAACTAACCATTTCAGCTGCACTTGTATATTTTATATAGTTAAAATCTTAAATGGTAGATTAAGTAGTGACTAAAGTTAGGAAATAAATGTAGTGGAGTAAAAAGTGCAGTCCTTTTGACGTGTAGTGGCGTAGAAGTAGAAAGTAGCATTAGATTAAAATACTCATATAAAGTAAATGTACCTTAAATTTGTACTTAAGTCCTGCCTGATGCCGACTACTACTGTTATTATTAGTCATACTTCTACTATCATCATACACATATGATTATTATTGTTACATACATATACAAGTATATAATAATGTATGCTCTTCCTGAGGTTTCTACCATTTTTTTCCCCATTAAAGGCTTTTTTGGGGAGTTTTTTTCTTATCGGCTATGAGGGTCCAAGGACAGAAGGATGGCGTATGCTGTAAAGCCCTCTGAGGCAAACTGTGATTTGTGATATTGGGCTTTATTGATGAAATTGAACTGAAGTACCGTACTTGTGTAAATGTACTTAGTTGCACTCCCACACTGCAATATCATGATAATTATCATTAAATCATGACAGGCCGAGATAATACAACTGTTGGATTACAGAACACCCTTAGGTTCAAAAATAAATGTCAAACCACAGACCCTGGTGACCAAACCAACTGTGAATTCAAAGATGGCGCTTTGCAGCCTGTGCACATAACTGATAATCAATCATGCATATGCAACTGTCTTCCTCTCTGCAGCCTTACAGAGTCAAAACTGAATCAAACAGAAACGACAAATAGGTTAAAGTCTATGGACAGTAAAGCTGGTGCAAAAAGGATGAAGCCAACTCAACAGCCAACAGAGTCAACAACAGCATCACAGCAGAAAACACAGATGTAGCTTGTAATGAAGCAGTGCAGCAATCACACACATGAGCAAAGAAGAAACTGTTTGTGTTACTAGGTGACTGCAGTTACAATTATCAATACGTTTAGTGTTGTACTCACCTGTATGAACGTCAGTCCTCCACTGTCTGCTCCTGGTTCAACCTCTCTGGTCCCAGTATAACCAGTCCACTCGGCCTCTCTGGTCCCGGTATAACCATGTCCACTCGGCCTCTCTGGTCCCGGTATAACCATGTCCACTCGGCCTCTCTGGTCCCAGTATAACCATGTCCACTCGGCCTCTCTGGTCCCAGTATTACCAGTCCACTCGGCCTCTCTGGTCCCAGTATAACCATGTCCACTCGGCCTCTCAGGTCCCAGTATAACCAGTCCACTCGGCCTCTCTGGTCCCAGTATAACCAGTCCACTCTCCGTCCCACTGTTCCTCAGTTTGTTGAGCTTAACGAGGTGCAGTCACCCACCGTGAGCAGGTTAGCATTTAGCATAGTTAGCATGTTAGCCAGCGCGCATCTGTGGGTGTGTTTGACTCGGGTCACTAATTAGCTGCTAGCCAGGCGGCCCATAACTAATTAATTAAAGATGGCGGCGTCGTCGTCGTTGTTGTTGTTGTTTTACTTTGCTAAGGTACAATGTTGCCAAGCTTCACCCATATTTACACCCATAAATATTTTCATAGCATAACCTTGTGTATTGTTTGTAGGTTACTTTTAATTGCAAGCCTCGGCACAGGTGCGACCGCACACACCGGAAGTGGCGACGCGTCTTTTCCGGTTTGTCAGCCGCTGATGAAATGCCGTCCTGAAACTGCAGACATTTTAACATATTTATTTATTCATCTTATTAAGTACAGTACATTGTAATTTAGTGAACATAGAAAACACTTTTTTTTCTTTTTGTTTTATACAACCCCTACCCATCGGCCCTACCACATGAATAAATAAAATAATATTATTAATAATAATAATTTAAAAAAAAAAGAATAAAAATAAACACACACATTCTTCCTTCTTGACATAATGGTTGAGTCCATGACAATATAGAGGGAGTTGTAAATGTAAAGTAATCCAAAACAATCCCTAGGTAGATAAAATGTCACCATATATTAAATATTTCATTTATTCTGAAATGTCCTCAGTTTGCCTATGTAGTCAATCATAGGGACAGGGTCAAATTTTCCAGATGACCCCTTAGACTATATTTAATTTTCTCCAGGTTTAAGAAAAGCATGAGGTTTGGTGGCAAATGGTGACTGGGTTTATGCTGACTTTTTCATGTGACTTTCGATGTTAATGCATTGAGTACTTACGCAGACCTAAAATTACCTATTTAAAAAATACACATGTAGGCTACACACACTAAACGGAATTTGTCACAGAAACTAGAATCAATGTAATTTGTCAGGGGTCACTGGGGATGGTTGCAACACAGGATGGTTGGGAACCACTGGTCTAGGCCAAGTAGCCTTTGTGCTACTGAGAGAAATGCAAAAGGTGTTGCAGACGTCCCCAATCTCCCCGACTTCTCCTGGATGAGTTACTCGTGTAATGCTTCCATTGTATATTGGAACAGCGTCAACAGAGATGTGACAGAGACATAGTGCATCCAAAATTAGGTTAGCTAATCCCCCTGCAATACCAACAACAGCCACTAGGGAGTACTCACACCTTTACTATATAATGTATGCTATAATGTAAAACTTTAAAACTGTTTAAATGTAAAACTCAGTGGTATTTTTTTTCATTTGCTCAGTGACATTTGCTTCTTCTCTTCTCTTCTCTTCTCTCTGGTATGTACTTCTCTCTTTCCACGAACAGCTCACACGTCACCCCTTTAAACAAACACTCCCTTGTTACAACATTACCAAGTTCTCTCATGGAAAAAACACATCACACTGAACCCGAGGCGTAAGTGTCAACCAAAGTGACACACACAGGCAGAAAAATGTGTATGTCTGCATGCTTATACTGTATATAACCACACAGAGGAGACAGACAGACAGAGGCAGAGGAAGAGGGGCTCCTTCCCCCCCTCTCTGTTTATGCTGGCACTAAGCAAACCACTTGCCTTGCAGAGCAATGGCAGGAACCAATCTCCTTAAAGTAATTTGCAATCACTGTGGCTGAAAAGGCCTTTCGCATCAATGAGCTTTTGTGAGACATTTCATTTCAAAGTTGAAATGAAATGCTATGCTAGAAATATTTGCTGCCAAATTTCAGGCAGCAGCCTTCTCACACTCTCATTTGATTTTCATGAATAAACACTCCAAAAACATTTTCTTTTCACTTCTACATTTGGCCTTTGAGGAAGGAATGGCATTCCCAAAGTGGCGAAGTGTTTGTTTGAATAGATCCTATCTTATATCTGTATCTTTTTCTGTGTGCTTAAATGGTGCAATGTGCTCTTTGTATCCTTTCCATACACTTTTAGCAGCTGTGTGAAACTGCTTCCTGCTCAGACAGCCAGTGAGCTGTTGCCGTCTGCAGATTATGAGATACTGAATTGGGAAACTGTTGTGAGACCAGACGGCAAACAGTCATCAGTCCCCGCAAGTTCAGTTGCTCAATTCAGTATCATGAAAGTGTTGCACTGTGGGAACACCGCAGTTCTAGACAGAGAAAACTCAACTGAAGAGAGTGTCAGCACTCACTGAGCAGTTTTATTGTAAGGAGTCCTCCAAGATTCTTAAGAGATTAATAATGTGAACCCAAACTGAGAAAACTCCATCTGCCAAGGATGTTGTTGAAAACAGACGTAGATGATTTTCTCAAATTAGAAATGCAGATTTACTCTGTGAGGACACTTTGAGAAGTGGATCATTAGTCTGTTGGTCTATTACTGGTGTCAAAACTGAGATAGTTGGACAACTATTGGAGTGATTGGCACACAGTTTTGACAACACCCATGTGTGGGTGAATCCCAGTGAATTTGGTAATGTCCCAACTTTTCCTCCTGCACCACCAGCCGGTTGACATTTTTATTTCAGAGTGAAACGTCTTGACAACTGCTGGATGGATTGCCAAAAAATTTGGAATAAATTTTCCCCCATAATAACTTTAATAACTCCGGGGATCCCTTATCTTTTATCCTGTGCAGAGGTAGGCAACCTGTAGCTCCAGAGCCACATGTGGCTCTTTAGCCCCTCTCCAGTGGCTCCCTGTGCAGTTATCTTTTAACATTTTAATTTTCATTTATCATTGTTGCAGGCCTAAAGTGAATCTTACATTCCCCAGCAATAAAAGTGCGTAGCCTATACATCAATTTAAAAAAAAAGGTTATAACAATTCATCCACTAAAACATGTTTCACATGTCTATGGCTTGACACCTTTTCCTCGACATTTTGCCGAACCTCCCTGTTGGTGGCTAGCCTCGCCATTTTATGCCTCTGCACACCAGTCAAGTTGCAGTTACAGTTTACATTCATTTTCTGTGAAAACACGGATGCTTCACTTACATTTTCCCCCCTGGCAGCATATAAGATCTATTCAATCTACCACAGTTTCAAGGTGGACACCCAGATTAGCGTCACCAATTCAGTATCTGACCAAACGTAATCTCTACTGTTTTTGAAAAATTATGTTGAATAATGGCCAGAAAAGTGTTTTTGCAGAATGTTATGATGTCACAGCGAAGTTGACCTTTGACCTTTTGAGTATCTAATGTCATCACTTCATAATCACATTTATCCTATTAGACATTTCTGTGAAATTTTGTCATTATAAGCTTATGAATTCTTGAGTTTGGGCCAAAAATATGTTTTGTGAGGTCACAGTGACCTCACAAAACTCTTGACCAGCAAAATCTAATCATTTCATTGTTGTGTCCAAGTGACTGTTTGTGCCAAATTTGAGGAAATTCCCTGAAGGTGTTCTTGAGATATCACGTTTATGAGAATAAGACGGACACAAGGTTATAGTGGCCTTTGACCTTAGACCTACAACCACCAAATCCTAATTAGTTCCTTGTTGAGTCAAAGTGAACGTTTGTGCCATATTTGAGGAAAGTCCTTCACGCTGTTCCTGAGAATGGGACCTACGGATGGATGAACAGACAACCCAAAAACGTAATGCCTCTGGCCACTGCTATTACAAGCTCAGCGGCATCAAAAGGAAAGTCTCACAGGAAAATAGACTTTAATATTGTGTGGACAAATTTGTTTGCTTTTAGTGCCATTGCTGCCAAGTGAAAGTACCAACTAATCATAATTAGCCCACTGCAGAGTCACCACTTTGTGGTAAAACATATTAATGAATGCTCATTTAGACCTATTAGAATTGATGACTTAATAGGCTGTGCTAAATCCATTGTAAGGCTAGAACATGTTTTGCAGCTCCAGATTTTTTTTTTGTTGCTTTCTAAAAAATGGCTCTTTTAATAGTAAAGGTCAGTGACCCCTGATCTACTGCCATCATCAGGTCAAACTTTTACCTCCGCTTATACAGGGCCAGGTCGTTGGGGCAGCAGGCCAAGCAAAGAACCCCAGATGTCACTCTCCCCAACGATACTTTCCAGCTCCTCCTGGGGGACCCCAAGATGTTCCCAGGCCAGATGGGATATGTAATCCCTCGAGTGTGTTCTGGTCCTGCCCCGGGGCCTCCTACCTGTGGAATGTGCCCGGAACACCTCCAATGGGAGGTGCCCTGGAGGCATCCTGATCAGATGCCCGAACCACCTCAACTGACCCCTTTCGATGGGAAGGAGCAGCAGGCGAGCACGAGTGAGGGTACATCCATCGGCCTTAGCTGGTGATAACTCGCTAAACTAAGATGATGAACAGAGCACACACTACCTGCAAAACATGAGCATGTTATGATTTCCGTTGTGAGCCCTGGATCTAATAATGGATGCACTGAAAGGGTTACTCGCCCCTGTAAATGTTCCTTCCGTCCTTACTGGCTGTGTAGAGATCCCTTCTTAAAGCAGTTTCAATGTAAGTGATTGAGGACAGGACCATTCAGTTCAAGGACAACTGAAGCTTATATGAGGCCGCAGCAGTCTGCAGTTACATTGAAAATGCATAGGGAAAAATTTTTTAATATTCCTTGACAGATCTCATAATAATATGTTAGCGCTTAGCTCAAAGTGTCATCTACAGCCTCACAGAGCTGCTAGCATGTCTGGAGACTTAGTCTTGTTGCGTCATCTCAAGATGGATCTATACGGTGACATGGTAACACAGCACTGACATTTCCATGGTAAGTATTCAAACTTCCACCTCTGCAAAAAGACACTCACACATAATTTTGTTCAGCCCCTATCCCTTTAGGCTCTATAAAATGACAATATCTTCATGTAACAAAACCTTTTATTTATTTATTTATTGAGAATGTGTGGCAATAATATGAATGAGCAGCTGTATCGTTAGTCTGACAATACAATTAGTAAAACAAAATAGATTCATATAAGGGTTTTTAAATTCCATAGTCACAGTCCTCATTCCTGACCTTGAAAATCCTGTTTAGGGATTGGCTGGAATAAAACTTTATGGGTCATGAAAGCTTAAAAAGAAATTTTGGTGAATTGAAAATTTATGAGAAGCGCTAGCTATAGATCAATTCTGGCATATCAGCAGAAATATTGATTGATGTGCTCCATCCTTGTCTCGTAAGCCAACAGTTTGTAATAAAAGTGTAAAAAAAATGTAATTATGTAATAAAGTCAAAGTCAAAGCAGTATTAATAACCTTTGTCAGCTTTCCAGATTAAAAACAAGAGTCTGGCCGTTAAGTCGTGGAGGATGGGGCAAACACACTTCATCCTTATTGACGTTTGATATAAACACACATCACATTGATTGATATGCGCTGTCCCTGTCATATGAATGTAAAGCAGGAGCAATATGGTCATTCAGGACAGCCATCCATTGTTATTCTCTGGCTCGTCCTGCACACACTAATGTGATGCGACAGTGTTTGCGGCATAGTGACAGCTGAATGTGACACCGCCAGCCAACTTCATACTCAATAAACTCAGGGGACTAACTCGCTAATCGGTCACACTCCAAACAAAACACACAAGCCGTTTTTACCGCTTTTTCTTACATTTATGTTGTTAGGAAAATACTGCTATACACAAGAAAAGTCGCTACTCAAATTCTTCATAAGACATAAAATAAACAAATATAATACAAGTAATCCGGGCTGCTGCCCCGAGGTTTAAAAGAAAGTTAAAATGAATGCAGTAATTGGAAAAAAAATTGATATTTTGGTTCCAAATTTAACATAAAAGCACTGTTTCCTGATTTATAATTGAGGCAGTGAAACAGGAGTTTAAAAAAATAACAATTGCATCATAACTGATAAGACTAAACTCATTAATGTTCACTTAAAAACAACTCCAAGGCAGTTTTCTATTCACCGCTTTCCTGCCATCACACTAAACCTAGGAATTTCTGATGAATCTCATTGTATATAAACAGATAATAAGTTACTATTGCATATGAACATTTTTCTCTTTACCCAAAGAAGTGTTGTCCAAGAGTTGAGACACATCGAAGCATGTAGACCAGTGGGGACATATGTATGTACATATGTACAGAAACACCCAAATCTAGCATGATGGCAGGTTAATGGCACTGATGTCAATTGTGGTTTTAGTGTGAGGTGCTCTGTTATTTCTTTTGGAGGTTTGTGGTTCTGCTCTTCTCTCTGGCCATCAACGATCGCCTCTTCCTGCTGGACATGGCTCCAACAGGTCGGATCTTCATCTCGGTGAAGTCAAGGGACACCAGGTGGCCCTTCCACGGCTCCCAGTTCACTCCCTGACAGCAGATTGAGCGAGGAAGAGATCGAAAAAGGGGAGAGCGCAGTTAGAATGAGACGTTGGAGTGATGAAAGGGAAAGGAGAAGGGAAATGAGGGAGACAAGAAAAAGGGTGAGAGACAGAGTCACAGAAGAGGCAGGCGGCAATGACAGACAGGCAGAATGACAAACACTAATAAACACCAGCCTCTGGCTTCATTTCTTGTGAGTACAAACTTGTTTTGACTGTTATTGCATTTTGCCAACAAACATTGCGGGAGACATCTGCAGCGGCAATATTATGGATGAAATCTCGACAAGAACAGAGAAATCCCCTGGCATTTTCTTCAGTATCAGACTCCCTTAGACATAATAACTGTTGTTGTTACCCTATCAGCCTGGTAAAAAACACTTATGGTTTATAGCTGGTGTGAGAAATGTGTTTTCTTATCGCTGCCGATGGATTCAGGCCATTTCTGTTTCATCTGAACAATCCAAAACAAAACAACTAAGAGTGGGCTGGGGTGAAGTTGTCTTTGATTGCTGACCAGGGAACGGCCCCCAGGTCAGCACACTTTTTTTTTTGTCTTTTTGTAAGCATGTTTTGACAGACACCCAAATAATAGTGTTTTTTGGGGAGGGGGGGTCATTAATCAGTGAGTTACATTTGTTGTGCATTATTTTAGCAAATCAATACATGAGAAGCAGCTTGTTGTGAGCAGTCGTTGTATAACTCCTGACAGAGGTATGCACAATGAAAAATGAATACAAAAAGAGCAGAACTTTTCCTTGAAACCTCCAATGACTGTTGAATTAACCAAGAACATCGCTCAATAAAAATTTTATTTGCCACATTGACATTTTGAGCTGAAGGGGACTCACCTCAGAATGGCAAACACACAGAATAAAACAGTTTGGGAATCCAGTTATTATTCACGGCCAAAAAGTCTCCAGTATAACTTGACTTTATGAGGATGATTTCAGTGCTACAACTTGAGGCTGAAGCGAAGCCTTGAGACTTATCTTAAGGACCCAAAGACAGTCAACCTGGGTTAGTATAAATCTGCTATCACATAATACTGTCAGTGCCACCTATTGGTGAGATGGCACACAACACCAGAAGATTTGACTTCTATACTTTGTCCTCGATGTCATACCATAAAGACCTGTTACGTTTGGTCAGAGTATTAATGTCAGTGACAGAACAATATTATTTAATACAAGTATAATTCATTTTGTGCATGTATGCTGATGCACATACCTGCGAGAAACAGACAAACCACTCTAACAGAAGGGATAGCTGCACCCTACAACCATCATGTGTGATCCAATGCAGCACTGCTCACTCACCACACTGTGTCTGACATCTCCCCATTTCCCGTTGGGGTTGGCCAGGTGACAGTTCTTGTACCACCAGGCGCCACGGTGGGTCAGGGCACAGTTACCCAGGGCGATGTCATTATCTGAGTCAACAGTAGTCCAGGGCCGGCCTTGGTGGTAGGTCATCGCATCACCTGGGGATCATCAACAATAATAATAATTAGTGCACTTTAAAGGGACAGTTCACTCCAAAATTAAAGATACATATTTTTCCTTTTACCTGTAGTACTGTTTATCAGTCTACATTGTTGTGGTGTGTGCTGCTAAGTGTTGGAGATATCAGCCACAGATATGTCTACTTTCTCTCAAATGCAATGGAACTGGATGACACTCAGTTTGTGGTGCTCAAAGTACCAAAAAATACATGTGAAAAACTCATGAAATCATGACCCGGTTATGCAAGATAATCCACAGAGCTTGTTGTGAGCAGTTTCATGTAGGAACTATTTTCTTTGTAACCGAACTACACCTGTGACTGCGTGTAAGGAAGCCTGCATCTACTCATGAACGAGAGGCTCATGCTCGTGGCAGCGTGAAAGGTGCTGTAAGCATCAATGGCGTCCTCCTGTAACGTTAGCTAGCTCAGTGGTGCTAGGTGAGCTAGCAGTAGATGCACGCTTCTTTCTGCGTGGTGATACGGTAGGCAAATGTAATTGGGTAGAGAGAAAATAGTTCCTACATGAAACTGCTCACATCAAGGTCTGTGGATTATCTTGCATAATCAGGTCATGATATCTAGAATGAGACCTTGCTGTTGAGTTTTTCAAATGTACATCTTTTGTGCTCTTAGCATCACAAACCGAGTGACATCTAGTTCCATTATATCCCAGAGAAGACAGACATCTCTTTGGCCAATATGTCCAACACTCAGCAACGTACACCAAAACAATCTAGACTGATAAATAGCACTACGGTAAGAATAAAAACCATACATTTTTGATTTGGGGCTTAACTGTCCCTTTAAATGATAAAAACTCTACATAGCAGTCCATTCAGTTCGACCTTCCTCTGTCAACAATATATTCTCAGATTGTGCTGCTCACTTTTCTTCCATGTGTCCCTGATGGAAAAAAGTAATAAAAGGCCAAATAAAGAGATACAGTATACATTATTTCAGCACACTGTGATATGTGTGGATACAGCGTCCCACTTGCTGTGCGTCTCTATCTGTCTGGCTTCAAAGCCCACTAAAAGTCAGCCTCCTTCACATACAACCTTACTTATATAACTCCTGTCTATAAAACCGACTGAATATAAGTTTCTGAAACAAATATCCCACCTACTGTTGGCTTGTATTAGCTTTCTCAGCACCCCACAGACATGGGTGGGGTGCCTACTGCTTGAAACCCCAGTATTCCCACCCCTGTCTGTCTCATTGCCATCCTCGCCCTCTCCTCCTCTCTATAACTCCGTGTATTTGAGTAAAGTGCCAGAGAGAAATTATAAGTTTTGAAAGCTACACATGCTGTCTGCTGTATTGCTGGTAGTTTGGAAAAGATTTTAGGAGCAAAAGGCCCACCTGCTGTCCCCCTGTAGTTGCCGATAGTGAGTTTAAATTTCTGCTTGACCGGTGCAATCTTAAAGTTGTCATATACAGCGTAGGCTCTCTCAGTGCCCAGGCCCAGGTCAAATCTCAGCTCATATTGTGTAGGAGTGTTGGTGAGCTCATATATCTTATCCAGACCTGAGGGAAGAGTCAGAGAGAGAATATGAAAGCAAGAAGAAAAACTGCATTACTGTTCATATGTGCATGTTTCAATGTCAGCAGAGATCCAGTGCTCACCAATCCAGAACTCGTCTGTCATGTTGCCAAAGCCGGCAATGTACTGTCTCCAGCGTTTCATAAAGTCCAGCTTGCCACTGGTACGTCGCTGGAGCACCTGAAAGCAGCAAGCACAGGATGTTCACTGACAGCTGTTGCACAAATGTCTCAAACTGTCTGCTTTGGGATGTTGGTTACCGGCTCCACCACTAAAATGCCAGCAATGACTGTCAATGACCATCATCATCCAGTGATTTGGGACTGCATTTCCATAAAGTTGAGGGACTCAATTTAAAAAGGATGGTCAAAACTGAAGCATCAGCAGTCTTGACTTTAGCTCCTAAAACGCTGGATCCCACATTAACCATAATGCAACTCAACATCTTATGGACTTCATCAGGATAAGTTTTCAGACTTTGAAAAGCAGCAATTGCCAGAATAAATGTTGGCATGGTGCATTTATACTTTATTATGTAGAGGATATATTGAATCTTCATGTTTCTTAGCTTCAATAGTGCTATGGTTAACATGTGGTTAGGTTTAGACACAAAAGCCACTTGGTTATGGTTAGGATATGATCATGTTTTGGCTTAAAATACCCGCTTTTGGTGGCACAATCACGGCTGGAAAGGCAGCGATGTCTCAGTAAAAAACAACCGCTTCTTGTGGTACTATCCTGGCAAGAAACACAGCAACTTGTCGCAAAAAAAACAAACAAACAAACATGCTTTGTGGATAAAAAGCTGTTAAAAGACGACCAGTTTTGTTGTTTGTTGGTCTTGAATATTGGTCTGCAGCTTGACATACGTCTTGCCAAGGTGATGTTTCATCTCCTGCTCCTCTCAATGACAAAAACAGCTCATATTCTGTCACTTCAGAAACACTGATATGAAACATATCAAACGTACACACATAAGGTATCTGTGGTTTGCAGAAATGTGCAATGCCAACATTTTCTTATGGCGACTGGGCTTCTGAAAAGCCACAGAAGTAATTATACAGCTGTTTTCACAAGCTGAGTCATTCGTGTGACGAGTTGGTGGAATGCTTCCTTAATATTTACTGGTACAGATTCTGCCCACATTAAACATTATTGTAAATAATAATACAACAATACACAGTAATATTAATATCCTGAAACCTCATTCACAAGGTCTGTGCAGTAATTCGTACCAGCCAGCCACCTCCATCAGTCTCCATGTCGCAGTACGCCTCAATGGGTTTGGAGCGGTCATTGTTAATATAGACGGTGTAGATACCGCTCTTCTTATTGCCATTCTTCATGATCTGAACGCAGTCCATGGGGAAGGGGTACAGGAGGCCAACTAGAGAAGAAGTGCGACAGCTTTATTAATGTTTAGAAGAAAAAAAAAAACACATCAGGAAGAGAGCATCATACACAGGGAACAGTGGAGACTCAGACAGTAGTGCACAGACCTGTTTTGAAGATGGTTTCTACCACCTTGCTCCTCTTGTTCCCCCTGTAGGCGATGATGGTGACGATGTATCTTTTCGCCATCTCCAAACCGGGTAAAGCAAAACTGCTCTCGCCGGCCCTGAGCTGCTTTTCAACCGCCTGAACACAATAAACAATTGCACTTACTCTTACTGAAATTAAACAGTCAAGTACTTCCTTCATATCTCTCACAAGAAAACAGTAAAATTCTATTTCAGATTTATTGAAACAACATCTTTTGACTGTTAATTTGATGAAGTGGAGAACCATTTTATGTATTTTGATTATGTTATTGTACACTGGATTAAAATGGTGAGAATTATGATTTGCAACATGTTGGGGATGACTGTGACAAACTTTTTCATTCATTCCGATTACTGAATTGTCACAAGATTGCATTTAGTCTTTAGTCAGTCCTGTTTATTCTGTAATGTTGAGTTATGATGTAAGTTGTAATGGTTGCATTGGCACTATGCAATTGTTTTGAGGACCCCAGGAAGAATAGCTGCTGCAATGCTGTAGTTAATTGAGAGCTTAATAAAAACACCCATAGTGTAAGTAAACTTTAATTAGAGACTGGCATTAAGCAGGCACTTTCATTTTTACAAAATCTGTAGAAGGTATCTAGAAAAAGGTCAAGCACCCATGTGCTTAAAACTACTTGTAGCAGATTCATTCCATTTTCGACCACAAGAGGTCAGCGTTCCACAGAGTTTAACTTGAACATACACCTTTACAGCAGCCTCAGCCTATTTGTAACAGCATTTGTATGCTTGTTAAGACAAAACAGGACTTAAAATCCAGCATTCAATGTTCCCAATGGGCCACAGGATGCTCAAAGGAACTGCAAATCTGCTTTTACTGAATGCAGAATAAAAGGTTTTTGCATCCTCCTACACAGTCAAACTCAGTTTTCCTTATGAGGGTAATATACTCTGATGCAGAATAGCTTCACCCTGTGTTTCCACATTGTGAGACATAGTTTCATACCTCAGTTGTGGCACATGAGAATACCTATTAGGGTGAGAAAATATGGCAATGTTACCTCCATGTTGCCATCTTCATCTCTATATGTGAGGATGTAACCATCAATGTCAGCGAGAGGGGGAACCCAGGACAAAAGAGCAGACTCCAGCTTCACATCTGTCGCCTTCAGGTCCTTAGGGGAATCGATGTCTGTGGATGGGAGTGTAAATCAGAGCGGATTATAGCACAAGAACATAGTGTATACCGTATGTTTATTCATACATCATATCAGCTCAGGCCTGGGTTGGGTAAGCAGATGATCTGTTCACTTAAACTGGGGAAAACACTTAATTATAAGTAAATAGAGTCTATTTAATTAAACAGATGTTATATTTTTCAGTAAATGTGCATTTTAATTAAACATTTTATTCAGTATTTGGAGTACAAACCTTTCTCATATTCACATGTGAATTAAGTGTTTCTCAAAAACACACATAACTTCGCAGTGCAGTTTTCATCTTTCATTTCCTTCACCTACCTCTGTGACAAAGCCAACATTAATAAATCTGACACTGTAGCCTTTCAGCCTGAAGCATGACACCAGAGATGACTGCCAGCCTGCTTACAACATACAATTTGCCTCTGCAGATAAACTGGCGCTTATTGCTCTGCCTCGTTGAAACGCTTTGAATGTTTGACCTGAAACACATGCTGAAATAATTTGTCTGACACAAAGACGCCTGCTGTAAAAGTGAAAGCCTTAACCTCCAATGGCTCAAGAAATTAGAGGAAGTGCACGTCACCGTGCCGTACCAAATCAGCTCAAGTAATCTATTATTTATTCAAGTCAGGACTCACACGTTCAGTTCTCAGTAAAAACTCTGCCTTGTGTTTATATTCAGGAATTGTCCAATTCTCCGTTTTAGTATCGCTGGAGAAAATAAACCGCTTTTCTGGTAATTAAATTATGATGGGAGAACAGAAGTGTGAACAGTGACAAATTTAGCAGTGCCATTTGCGGTATCATTAGTGGAAAGCAATGCTGCTGAAAAAAGCCTGTGAAACACACTGATGTTTTAACCGACATATTAATGGTGCTTGTTACCAGGTCTAATAAAATCACAAATGTAATAACAAATGCTTTTATGTGTCCCAGGTGATATCTTTTGACACAAAGGCTTTCCTATCTGAACTCAGCACCACGCTGGTCTGAAGCCACTGAGAAGTTTCTTATGAGTTACGACGAGACAAGTTTATAATCCAAAACTCGGCCATTTGCTGCCTAATTGAAAAAGATCCAGCTGTCACTTAGAGCTCCCGGGTGATTTTACAGATCATCTGGCTCACACAATGATACCCCTGTTGTAACCTGTTCACCATGTGCTGTAGCTGCTATTTTTACCTCACAGTAAGGCCCAATCCCAGTATACCCACTGCCCCTCCCACTTAGGCCTTACTTCTCCCTATTGCACGTTCATGTCTAGGGGTAGGGCGTCCTAAATGCTGTTGGGATAGAGGCTACATGGCCCACCAAACAGAGGTTTTTCAGAAAAAGTTATGAGTAATCATTAGCAACATGGCTGTACGAGCAAGAAAAGAAACCATAAATGTATTTTCTTCATTAATAAAAACTTAAAAATAACATTAACCATCATATTATCTTTGTTTTATGTCATTTCAGTGTATTATGGTCCCTTTATTTATAACAAGCATAAAAAATATCACTAGTAGTATGCTCTTGTCTTGGTAGCAAACCAGCTAGCGAGCTAACATGACATTGTTATTGCTGGTTTGTGCATGACAGTGCCATGTTTTGACATATTTTCATGTTGCATTCCCCTCCTTTAATGGCAAACAACGCTCCAAATTCAACATAAGTTGCTGCACTTGTTACTGCTCCTCTGACATCAGTGCAGACTGGCAGGGTACGTAGGAGCACGGGTTACTAATGTCTACAAAGCACCGCTAGTGAGCCTGATAATTAAGTAGTGTTCTTTTATTTGATGGCTTGTTGTTTGATTTATTGATAGCATGAAACTCGAGTTGTGAACGAATGTTATTGTGATAATACCATTACTGCCATAGTTATATCTATTTATGGAAATGCCATTGATGACTACTGATGACGTTTCAGTGTCTTCCAGGATTGTCCCATTTCATATGCGAAGATTTTAACCGCTAACCCATGTAAATCTATTTCGAGGGGCAAAGGGGAACTCGAAAGCGAGGGGTAGGTTAAAAATGAGAATTGGGAGTTATGGAGTTATGGTGCTCCCTGGTAGTTTTGAAGTTCAGACTTAAATAATTTCATTGTGTAAGAAATATTTTTAGATTTAATATCTCAAAGGCCATATGGTGTAAAAATTGATGGATTACTGTTGCATGTGTGCATGGAAAATATATAAATAAAGTTAATTAATAAAGCAAGTTCAAAGTGCGCTTGGTTTGCAGTTGTCTACAAAATGTGGCAGAATTATAGTTTGACTGAAATACTGTTTTTTGAAACTATCAGCAGTTTCGTAGGTGATATATAAAAAAGGTACAAGTTATTGCATGTTTACCAAAAAGTTGAAAAGGTATCACATGTGCTGCAAAACACCACAGGAGACTCTCTGTCCCAACAAAACAACCCAGATGTATTCCCTGACCTCTGATATTTAATGCTTGGAGCCCTGTGATTACCAGTGTATCCAGTATTGTCACATCAAACAACATTTAAGAAGTAAAATACAAGTATAATTTCGGGGAATCCACAACCAAATCCAATGTTGTTTGTCTGCATTAATTCAAATCCTGGGATTTTTTAGTCTATGGGAACACTCCACAGTGACCTGTTACTGCTTCTGAAGAACCATATTCCCTCAAACCACATGACTGACAGGAAATTCTTATCAGCAGTTTCAGACTACGGTATTTGTTTTTAACAGTAATAGAACAATAACCTGTTTGTTTATGCAAAGATAACTGGAACTCGTTACTGAATAACAGCTTAGTGCCAAGATCACAAGACCACAGCGGTGGTGCTTTTGGGTCCTGCACAATTTATTAATGCCTACCAAGAAAGACATTTAAAACAATCCAGAATTTGTCCGCATTATTCTTGTTGTTACTTTCGTGTGGTATGTCACCCCTATCAGTGTTGATATACAGCATGTCATCCAGTTTTGCTTTAGTGTGTTTGATTTAAAATTATGGTGGCTGATTTTATCATTAATAGACAGGCAGCTCGCACAGTCATATAAACATCAGATTAAGGCATCCCTGAACTGGAGAAAATGAGTTTGGGATAACAACCATTGGTAAATGTTTCCATATGTAAAATGTTGCTTTGCCTGTCAGTGTGGACTGCATAAACGCAAAAAAAATTGACCTTTTTTAAGATGCTAAACGATAAATTGCCATTTCAAGATAGAGAGAGAGCTCTACTTTTACCAATATAAAAAAGCCTGCCTATTCATAGTTTATTAACCTGTCTCAGCTTTTGTTGAAATCTTCCTGGTGGCTTTGCTTCCCTTGATGGCCCAGATGTAGACAGTGTAGAGGACACCAGGCCTCAGGCCAGTCAGCCTGTAAGAGGTGCTGTCAGACCCGACTGGGATTTCCCCACTTGAGCCCTCAGAGGAGCTGTAGGTTAGGAGGTAGCCATCAATTTCTGCCTGGACTGGATCCCATGACACACTGAAGCTGGACTCTGCTTCATCTCGGGCTAAGAGGTTAGCAGGGTCATCCAGTTCTAGAGAAAGATGTTAGTGCAGGTGGTTATAATACTACAGATGCAAACTACAGGAACTACTGATGCAAACTACAAGATGTACGGTTTCATTTTTCACCCAGAGGCAAACAAATGAAATCTTTTGGCATGCATTTGCTACAAACATTAGTAATTACAAGGAGAACGATGTTTACCTTCATATATTACATCATAAGAAATAAGACACCCTCTATATATGAGATGTGATACATGTTTAAATCTTTCCACTAGCTCCCCTGCCCCCACTGCCCAAATGGAGAGGATGTAAAGGAAATAAGGACTCAGGCAGTAAGCCTGTAAGCCAGCATGGGATCCCAGAGGTGTCTCTGTGCTTGAGCTCTCATCAGAACTGGAGCTATACTTATGTCCATTGATTTTCGACTGCACTTCGTCTCACGACACTGATGATGGACAAGGAGTTAAGTTGGAGTGCCAAGTTCTGCATATGGAGTCACGGTTATAGCAAGAGCTAAGAAAACTTCACCTGGAATAAGGACATGAGAGGCTCTGCGGCCGAGTGAACCTTGCAGCTCCCGAGTTGGGGACGATATCTGTTTGGAAGAATAGAATGGACTAAGCACATTGCAACTCTCTGAATGTGCATCCATCTGAGAGAGACAGAGCACAATTTAATGCTAAATCTAGCCTCATCTATCCCCGATTTACCTGGTGGACGGAAACTAAGATTGGTCGGAACATTTGGGCTTCTGGGTTTCTGGGAAATAAAAGCATCACTGCCCATGTCTCTGGTATGATTTATGCTCTGCACAGAATTGACTCTGTTTAAAATCCCAATCATGGGAGAAAGTGAAGACTCCTTGTCATGGAGACATCCCAAGAAACCTGGTGGTGGACAGCAGGAGTGAAGAAGACTGTCAAACTGAGGAAGGCATCCTTCAGTTGTCCTCTTCTGGTAAAAGTCTTTTCCCATTCAGATATTTAGGTAGCTGTTTCAAGGATCCAGGATAAGTAGGATTTCACACATGATTTAGAGCGAAGGAGAAGGACAAAACATTAGGGGGATTGGGTGCAGAAATACAGACATTATATGAGGTCATGCTAGTGAAGAGACAGCTGAGCCAAAGAGTCAATCTTCAATCCATTCTTCACTGTGGTCACAAATGTTGGATAGTAAAGTACATGTAACTAAATGATCATATGTCTCCCGACATGCTGGCTGACCTCAGTCTACATGATGAGAAGAGTGAAGAGTCCAGAGTAGCATGTAGAGGTTTTTTGGTCACTTGGAAAGAATGAGCCTGAGCCCCGAGTGCCTCTTTATGCTCCAGGCATGACTGACTGAGGGCAGTCTCAGGACATGCTGGAGGGATTACACCTCTGAGCTGGCATGGGACTGCTCAGGAAGAGCTGGAGTAAGTTATTGGGGGAAAAGGATGTCTGGGCTGCTTTACTCACCGTGACCCGCATAAGAAGCTGGCCAGTACATGCATGAAATGATGGATGAATACATTGGAAAACTCCTTAAAACAAACAAGCTGATTAGTCTACCATGTGAGAAACACACTTTTCTTTGGGGTTTACAGGCAAGTTGTCTTGTCAAAATGGCTGTAGATATGATGTATTAAACACAAACATGGCTCCACAAAAGAACATGTGACGTAAGTATTTCTATGACCCATCCTAAGTCCTGCCCCTTTTTGCTCTGTGCTCCAATAACAGTTGAGCAAGCTCAGTTCCTGGCAGAACTCTGTCAACTTTCCACTTTCCACTTTCCTGTTACACTAAATATGCTATGTGCTAGACCCGTCTATGTTGCAAAGAAAAACAAATTCTGAAGACAGTTAGATGATGTGGCTGGGGGACCTGTAAAAGCAACGCTGGACACATTACATTGGTGTCATAGTCTTCACAGACACATTACATTGCATATAGTCACATCTTGAGTTAGCTAATATTAGCAAAATGTAACCTACATCAAGTAAGTCAGATCACCACCGTTAGTCAGATTGCCTCTTCCTTTTTTCTGTGGGAACGTTAAAGAGATTTGGGAAAGGACCGATAAGTTGTCGCTGACATATTTTTAAGGTGACATCATTCGCCAGATCAAGGCTAGATGTCCAGCATCCCATCATGAATGTATCCTTCCACTGCATACTTAAGTCCTCACGGTCAGCTTCTTGAAGCTATACTGCCTGATGCCAAAACAGCTAAACAGAACTGGCACCACCATGTTTCTTTTTGTCAAGCTTGTCCAACCTGGCAACAGCAACTAAAGGGGACAGGACTTTGGATCGGTCAATTGGTCAGGTAGTTTGGTTTAACAGAAAATGGTAGATTTGAGACCTGTCTCGGCTTGTGTCGAGATCTTCTTGCTGGCTTTGTTTCCTTTGACGGCCCAGATGTAGACGGTGTAGAGAACCCCAGGCCTCAAACTAGTCAGCGTGTAAGAGGTGCTGTCAGGCCCCAATGGGATCTCCCCACTAGAGCCCTCAGAGGAGCTGTAGGTTAGGACGTAGCCATCTATGTTAGCCTGGGCTGGATCCCAAGACACGCTGAAGCTGGACTCTGTTTCATCTCGGGCTAAGAGGTTAGCAGGAGCATCCAGTTCTAGGGGAAGATGTTAGTAGAGGATGTTAATGCACTACTGATGCAAACTACAGATTGCAGATGAGCTGAAGCTCAAATGATTTCCATCATCTCATCCCAAGACCTGGCCTCATGGCACATTGAAGCTGGACTCAGTAGTGCTCAGGAGGTGAAGTTCTTCATATAGAGATGTAGTTTTGAAATAGGCTAATTACAAAAAGGTGTTGGTCAGATTATAATGTAGGAATATAAAAATGTTTTAAGATGTCCAAACATCCTCGTGCATTTAGCATTTAACCCCACATTTTGGCATCAGCTGGTCAGATAATAAAATGCTTTGGATTTGAACAGAAAGTCGTAGATTTTAGACCTGTCACAGCTTGAGTAGAGATCTTCCTGCTGGCTTTGCCTCCCTTGATGGCCCAGATGTAGACAGTGTAGGGGACACCAGGCCTCAGGCCAGTCAGCACATATGAAGTGCTGTCAAACCCGACCGGGATTTCCTCACTTGAGCCCTCAGAGGAGCTGTAGGTTAGGACGTAGCCATCAATTTCTGCCT